GTTCACAGCCTGGAAGAGCCCAGGTGGCACAGACTAACTGTGAGCTGTCTAGACAGCCCTCTGCTGTGGCCTCTTCACACCCACTGCTCCCATTAATTGGGGAGCTCTATTCCGAGCTATAAACTTCCACAAATTCACAGGTTCTCATGACTAAATAGAAGAAGAGCTTTCAAGGGACTACCTGTCTGAATATACATTAAAAATGGGACTTCACGTGATGCTCGTTGCTGTAAAGATGCCAGATTTCAGCCTTTTGCCCTGTTTTTTCTCCTCCTCCTCCCTTTACTCACTCACTTGGGGACTGTGCTTTTTCCATAAGGCAGGAATGAGTCTTTGCACCGTCTGATATTCAACAGGGACCTCATAGACGTGCAGATCCACATCATCTCGCAGCCCAAGCTTCTCCAACTCCTAAGAATGTAAGAAAATAGATAAAAGCAGGACAGTCAGACACAAGCTCAGCAGAGGAGATACTTCTGGAAAGTTTATTAGCAGAGTGAGTCTGCTGTGAGGGACAGACCTCAGCTCGGCATTCCGGCTGTATAACCTTCTAAACAGCACTGTAAAACAAAAAAAAAAACCCAACAGAAAGGGGAACAACAGGGGCATCTCCCCACCTGTGTTAACAGTCGTCACCCACAGGACCGTTTGTTCTGCTCTGCTGTGTGTACCACAAAGAAATCAACATTTAACTGACAACAGTTATCAGCAACACCCACGCTCAAAAGACAGGTTGGCGACATTATTTATAGAAGGATAGAGTCATACTCATTTCTTGACAGAACTACATATTGTGTAGAGAAAGCAGAACTGAGAGGGTTATACTCATGGTCTGATTTGTTGTGTCTCAGGACTGGAGAGCAAACTCCCATTTGTTTCAGGGTCCAGAGCTCTGAGGGTGAGATTCTGTGTCTGTGAGTCCCCACAAATATTAGCAAACACTCCTCATGTGAGAAAAGGGAGCACCGTTGGCACCTCCTCCTCAGCATATTTGTTTTACTGTAATTTTGGCAGAATCCAGAATACAATACAGCCTGTTTCCAAACTGTAGAACGGGTTTCCATCGCTAGCTTTACCTACACCTAATATATTGTACTTAATTTTGCAACCTGACCCATTGCCATTGACGTGATTCAACTAATGCAGTAAATTATTTCTCCCTCTATGATGTTAACTAAAGCCATGCCTTGAAAACATCCCAAATATCCAGGCAATAAACTTAACCAATTTCCTTTCAACCCTTTAAAATAAGTGTCAGTTAAATACCTTGCAAAGACTTGTTTAAAACCAGGGGGAAGAGGCCAGATCTCTTTTTTCTCCCCAGTGCACCTGACTGGTGAGCACACTGTTTCATCCCAACGCTGTGACTTCCTTCTACACACAGCCCGTGGTCCTGGACACTTCTCCCTTGCTCCTTTGGTCTCCATTTCAACACCAGTTTCACCAGTAAAGCTTCCATTTGAGGCTGATTTGGTACCTCAGACTTTACCAGTCTAGCCCAGAACAGGACTCCATCAGAAGTGAAACCTTCCAGAGCCATCAAACCCAAACTTTCAAGAACTCAAGGAAAAGAAACACCCATATGGGCTGAACCCTCTGTAAAAAAAAAACATGTTCTTATGCAAAATCATGAGCTGAGCTCAAACCCAGGGGCCTTATTCAAGTCTACACCAGGAGGCACATTTCCAGCAGCTGAAACCACTTCAGTTATCGTGTTTAATGGGTTCCAACAGCATCCATCTTGGATCACGTTTCCCTCTGATGAAGATAACGTTTTTTGACACTCTAAAAAACTTTACAGCTGCTTTTCAAGAGTGATAAGTGACTGTACATGACACTGACAGCCTTAGTCAGAGTCCTCCCATAGCTCTGTCTTCTCTGGAAGTGCATCCTCCTTTCCAAAGACAGAAGGACTCATGAGCTCCTGCATCTCCGTCACCAGGCCCGTGTTTCAGGTAGAAGAACCAACTCCAGCTTTTCACCAGTTAATACACAGCAGCAGCTTGTTGTCTGGGGCTGCTCCTCTCCTCCGAGATACATGTTGGTTGAAAAAACCCAATCTTACTCATGCCAAAAGCTGGAAATGATTACTTGTGCTAACATCAAAGGGGCTGCCTGCGCAGCAACAAAATAACCTGCAACTCTCACATCCACAAACCGCTGTAGTCGTTCCCGGGGATCTGAGGTAGAAACAGCCACGTAAGGAGCCATCAAACTATCAAAGGAGATCTTAAAATATTCTTGAATTATTAAATTATCTCCATTTCAGGTTCAAGACTCGGTGATCAGAGCCAAGAGCTGCGCTTTCAGGTGATTCTTAGGCTTTATTTTCCTGCGCATAGAGATTATACTCACAGACTTCAGGCTGAGGAGTGCAGATTTAGCTATTTTCACCAAAGCTTACTCAATTTCAAACCCTGTATTTCCCCAGGTTTGAATTTCTTTCAAATTAAAGGCAGCTGAAAGGAGAGAACAAGCTGAGGTTCTTGGGCTCCCCCATTACAATCCGACCTCCTCTACATAAACGTGAGCAGTATTTTAGTACCTTTTTTTCCCCCCCTGTAGTTATCAGCACGAGTCGTTTCTTTCCTGAGGAAAAAAAAAAAAACCCACCCAAACCCTTTCACACTTGTACAGACAGACCACAGAGAGTGTAACAAGATTTAAGACAACTAAAAGACTGGGGAAAGGCAAGAGTAAGACTTTCACGGACCAGCAGATATGAGCAACAACAATGATAAATCACTTGCTCTGGCTCTGAGGGCAAGGCTGATATTAAAGGCTTGCTGTATTGATTAGTGTCTGGCACACACAGACATTCATTACCAGAGATGGATGCTAAGTGATGTTTCATCACATCTTCTTTACACAAATCTGCCTTCGAAACCTGAGCTGGTTTATGTGGCGCCTTAATAAAGTAAGTAGTTTACAAATGAGAGTATTCAAATACGAGGCAGTCTCTTTAGGAAGATCTCCAGAGCGTTAATTGGGAGGGATTCATCATCACCACTTCTCTAAAGAGCGTGAAACAGCTCCTAAGGCTGAATTTGATGGTGGAAAGTTTTACCGGCTGCGCAGAACGAGCATCTACAGGGAGCAAGAAACCTCGGGCCATAGGAGCTGCCCCATCACAATGACAGCCACCTTCTCCAAATGCAGAAACGTGTTAAACCTTAGAGCTTTACCAATTCCCAACTTTCTTTTAACCAAACACGGCGTCCATTCAATAATAAAGATGTCCGCTGGCCCCCAGACAACTTATTACCCCCAGCCTTGTATACCTGACAAATATAGAAAAACGAACATGTTTGACCGATTCCCTGACCCCTCAACAATGGTCCTCTTTGTGAGCCTTTAATATCCTTATCAGGTCTGTCTAGACACCCTGACAGCAATTGTCCTTAGTAATGTCAAAACGCACTCTGACCTCTCTCCTCCTCCTCCTCCGGGCTCAGCCAGAAGCTCTTCGGGGAGGGGGGATGAAGGCAGGAGCCCATCAGCTTCACAGTCCACAGGGCACACCTGTGTCTACACCTAAGTCACACCAGGGAGGGCAGAAAAATGTACCAAACAGAAAAGCCCATTTTGGTAACTTCTTCTTGAAAGGAAGGTCCCTCCCAAGCAAAAACTGCAGCTGAAAAAAAAATTCCTCAAATGGAATTTAAAAAAAATGAAAAGAGGGAAGAGCAAATCTACGTTAACACAGACTATTTTCACTCTAAGCCTCGGAAAAGAAAGCAGAAAGAAGTTATTCTTCCTTCTGAATTGATAGGAAATTTCTACCCCACGTGTAAAAGTCTCCAAACGTTTCATCTTCACATTATATTAGATTGCTGCTGCCACTATTGAAGGTACTCGTTATGTTAACTACGTGTAAAAGTCATTTCGCTTTCAAAACCACACAGCTATACTAGAAATTCACTGCATTCAGAGGGGAAAAGACACCCCATATCCGTGTTCTACATAAACAGCCAAATAAAACCAAAAAAAAGAGCACTGGAAAGAAAAGCAGAGAATTTTATCCTGGGGATGCAGGCTAATAAAAGATGTAATAAACCAGAACTAGCTTAGCCCTAAAGCTAGGAAGGATTTACAAAGATTGTTTAATTGATTTTTCTGCTATTAAAATGCAGATCACACCGTCTGGGATTCAGAAACTCAGACACGCCTTTGTGTCCACTCAGCTCCATGAAGTCCCCTGTCTGAAACTTGCACAATGCCCAACTCGCATGTGCTCAAAGACATGCTGTTCCTTTTTTTGTCTGGGCCTCTCGGGGCTGAGACGGGGCAAGGAAAGGCAAATCCTCCCCGCTGCCCCAAAGTTGGGATGTTTTGAGTCAGAAACCGGCTATTAAACGGGACTGGGAGGGAGATGGGCTCCCGAGGCAGCAGGTCTCACGCCACCAACTCGAGTTTGATACCCTCCAAACATCCTACAAACCCATCAAATTAATTTAAAATACAGGTGATTATTTCATCTATCGGCCCCGCAGCTGCCGGGCTGAAGGAACGACACGCCGTTTCTCTTGATAGAAATAGGAATTATCCATGAGGTTTGGGTTTTGTGAGCAACACCAGAACACCCACCGCTCTTCCTGTCCCACAATACCCTTTTGTCTGTCTCCTCTAGAATCAGCTTGTTTACAATAACTGACACCACACGAGGAAGAACAAACCAAATCAATCAGCTCCGCTACTAAATTTCAGGAACGTGCAATTTTGGTTTTCCACAGCTTGCTTTTTTCCCCCTAACTAAAACCCTAACCCTAACTCAAATATATTCATTTCCAAAAGGGTCTTGGAGGCAAAGGTTTCGCCTTCTCACACCAGCCAACACATTAGACATCTGGACATTAGTAGACTGTAATTGATTAGAGTTTGTGATTTAATTTAAAAGCATTCTAAAGAAGATATTAATCTCCGAGCTCTGAAGGGAAGAGAGCTGTGTTGGGGGGAAAAATAGATTTAATTCCCTGGGCAACTGTACTAAAAGGTACCCCTGAATTCCCAGTAGCTTTGTCATAAACCACATCCAGAAGTGACAAATAAGGAAGAAGTGGGATAATGTGGCAGCGCTGTCCCTGGCTAATGCTTTTACAGAAAGTAACCTTAATTCCTGAGTTTAGCTGGGAATTTAGCAAGAGTTTGATTTCTTCTTCTTGCCTCGTTTGTGAGTATATCAGTGTGTTCAAAAGCCGGGTTGATGTAGTGCTGGGAGGTCTGGTTTAGTGATGATGCTCCTTGTTTGTTGTGTGGGTGTCTATTTTTGTCAGTTAGGTTGACGGTTGGACAAGATGATCTTTAAGGTCCCTTCCAACCTAGAAGATTCTGTGATTCTGTGATTCTGTGTTACACAGAGGAGTGTGTTCATGCAAATACGCAGCCGAAAGTGGCACAAACTTGATTTGTTCCAGGGTGTACGATTTGCTCGAGCAACGATGCTCCACGAGCGCTCCTGTCTCCAGCAAGACCCAGCTCTGCCAGTCAACCACCACTTGCTGAGGCTTCTCAGCAGAAGAGAAGGTGGCTCTGGGGCCACAGACACAGCCTGTTTCCCCCATGCCTCCCCAGCACCAAAAGCAGGCGGCCACAGAAGGAACTGAAGGAAAAAAGCAACGTCTGCTTTGCTTTGGAGTCAGGGTCCTGACTTTCAGACCCATGTTGGACACCTCCACAGTTCACTTGACCCCACGAGACTACCAGGTGGAACTCTCATTACGGAGGAGACTCAGCTTAAAGGTTAACCAGCTCGCCCAGATTCAAGTTAAGAGTCCAGAGAGAACATTAAAATTCTTCCGGGTTTGTTTGTTTATTTATTTTTGAATTCTCTGCAGCAGAGGAAGATTCCAGGCTCCCTGCCCCATTTAACATCTCCCAAAACCTAGGGAGTCAGCCTCTGAATTCCTTACTTGCCTCAGCTACATTAACTCAATCTCATTAAACTCTACCAGCTAAGGGATTGTTTTCTGAGAAGTGACTAAAACATTATCCAGCTGACCATCTGGATATCTGGAGCGAGCTGGTCTCGGTTAATAAATTGGGAACAAGTTACAAAAGAGCTGCAAAGTCAAATTTGTAGGGATACGGCATCGGGATGGTGCTTTGTTTCAACTTGTTAAGAACAGAGGTTAGAGCATTACCTGAACTGCAATCCAACTGGCGTTAACAGCGTGCTCCCCGAACGGCCCAAACCCTGGAAGAGAAGGAAAAAATCCACAGTGATGAAGTCATCCCTTACAGGTCTGACTAAAACTTAAAGCTGCAAAACGGCCTGCTCTTCCCTGCTTTACATATCCTGAAAGAAAACTCACTTCTTCTAACGCCCAGACCTTATTTACTTTACACCCAAGCAGAGACCTTCACACAAACATTTGAACTACGCACCTTTTAACTGTGAAGGGAAACAATAGCTTGCCTCAAAAGAACTTAAAGCTGCAAAGCGGCCTGTGCTCCCCTGCTTTACATATCCTGAAAGAAAACTCACTTCTTCTAACACCCAGACCTTATTTACTTTACACCCAAGCAGAGACCTTCACACAAACGTTTGAACTACGCACCTTTTAACTGTGAAGGGAAACAATAGCTTGCCTCAAAAGAAACTCTTTTTTTTTTTCCCCCAACAGACACTGGGGAAAGTGTAATTTTTTTCCTTCCTGACCAGGTTAGAAAAACTTCTTATTAAGAGAGAAGTTGACCAATGTCACGGAACGAGAACCATTATTGGATTTTCTGTTCCTGATTGTTTCAGCCCACAGCAGATGCTTCCACAAAGGAGGACGAGCCTGTCTCAACTCTTTCTTCTCTCCTCAGGTCTTCACCAAGATCTCCGTTAGCATTAGTTATACCTTACCAGAAAATAAACAAAACGCTGCTGACAACCCACCTACACCAAGCAGCTAAGGTTCTGATAGCATTATCAAAAATACTTACTCACCACGTCTAAATTTCCTAATTAATAACTTAAGAGTTAACTAGTAATCCATAACATCTTTTCCTGAGCAAGCACACAAAGGTTGGGCAATTTATCTGGGTGCAACGTCAATATGCTTTAATTTAAAATGTCAGAGTTACCCTACGAGCCTAATGCAATTAGGAGACATAAATTTTCTCCAACTCTTGAAAGGATTTGAGAGCGACTACAAATATTCCATGACACGTTAATGGAAACATTCTATTTGCTATCAACAGCGAGTCCCAGGTTACGCCGCACACGAGGAGGTAAGGGATTTACAGAGCACGGGTGGACTCGGCCACGCTGATGGATCTCTCACAATCCACCCAACGTCGATACCTTCCTGTAATAAATTTCTCCAGGTTTCCACAAAATCAAAATCTTGGTGTGTTTTCCTGGGAGCAAACCTCCAATGCTACTAAGACAACCCACGACCGCAGCACGGGCCAACGAGTCGAATAATCTAACACCTTCTCAGTTGTTTCTGCAAGTCAGGGATGTCCTACAAGATCCTCTGGAAACAGTGGCGACCTCCTAGGTTTCAGTCCTAAAGAAACTGCGATGGTCTTATGAAAGAAATAAACCACAGCTATTTCTTTTTAACAATTCAGCCACTGGGAAGGTTGAAATTCTACAGGTGCCCACACACGTAACATAACCCTGGCGCTCCAAAGCCAAACGCCAACTGGCATAAATGCAACTGTGGGCTATTTCTCCTCTGACTCATCTCCTGTGTAGATCCCTCGTGTTATCTCTTTTGCAGAAGATAAGCAACTTTGTTGATAGCAGCAAACTCCACCGAGCATGCCCAGGAGTTCCTCCGCATCCACAACAGGGCCCCTCCAAGGCTCATTAGCAGTAAACCAGCTGCAGGGATCTTTATGGGATTATCTCCTTACACAGTTCTAAAAAAGAAATTGGACACAAATAATACTTATCCTTCACTCAGCGGCCGTAACTGAAGGGGAACACCACGCCATTGCTAGTTTTATAAAGGAATTTAGGGTGACATCGATGACAGATTATCAAACATGGGTAGACCTGACAAGATAAGCGCCGCATTTCAGAAACAAACTTCCCTGAAAACATGGAGGGGGGGCGAAAAAAAAGACAGGAAAAGTATTGCAAGCAGCAGAGTATCTACTGACGCAAGTTTTCTGTTTAGTCACCGCCGAGAGCGGCCGCTCAGCAAGAGATATGGGTTTGGGAAAGCCAGAATTTGCCACCTGCTTCCTCGCTCCCCTGCAACTGTTCTCTGCAAAGACACTTGCCTCCAATTAAAACCGCTCCAGCGCATCGACGACAACGAACCCCCTCGCCCCCGCGCTCGCTATTCAAACGGCCGCAACTTCAGCTGCTTGGGAGGGGGGGTTGGAGGGGTTGGAGGGGGGGTAGAGACCTGAATAGTTTCACCCGAGTTCCCCATTTGTCACAGAACTGCCTTCCCCACAAATCAAGCCGGCCCGGCCTTTGTACCCCGGGGGGAAAGGAGCCTGACAAGCTCTCGCCTGTGCAGCCGTCGCTGCCACAGGGGCCTTTCATTCCCTCACTTAATTTTTCCCCCCCGGGCACTTCTGCCGTGCTGCGTGGGTTATTTTGATAACAGCTTCGACACCTGGACGGCTGGGGATGGGGGGGTCAGAGAGCAAATATCCCCCCCCCCCTCCCTCCACCATGCTCTGAGTGCTCTTCCCATTCCTTTGGAGATTCAGTCCCCTCCTCTCCCGTCCCCCATTCACCTACCCCCTGCCCAGCTCCTGGCCATCTTATCCCTCCCTCACCTCAGGGAAGGGGTCCCTCATCTTTCCCCGCCACTCACCTCAGGGAGGGGGTCCCCCATCTCTCTCCCTCACTCACCTCAGGGTAGAGGGTCCCCCATCTCTCCCCCCATCCTCACCTCAGGGAAGGGGTCCCCCATCTCTCCTCTCAGGGAAGGGGTCCCCCATCTTTCCTCTCAGCAAAGGGGTCCTCCATCTCTCCCACCAACTCACCTCA